CTTCCATCTTACCAAACATGAAATCCTTCTCCAGTGACTGTGAAAAAGACTATCAGTTGCTCATATATAACTTCAGGTTGAAACTGAAGAAAATTAAAACAAGTCTACGAGAGCCAAAACAGAACCATGAGTATATCCCACCCGGATTTAGAGACCATCTGAAGATGCACTGAACACTAGTGACTGAAGACCAGAGGAGTTATGGGATGACATCAAGAATATCATACATGAAGAAAGCAAAATGTCATGAAGAAGAGAGGAAAGAAAGAAAAGACCAAAATAGATGAGCAGAAAATTTCAAAAGACAGCTCAAGAAGACAAAATAAAATATTATAGTGAAATATGCAAAAACAAACTTAAAAAAAAACCCTAAAAGGAAGAACATGCTCAGCATTTCTCAAGCTGAAAGAACTGAAGAAACAATTCAAGTCTTAACTTACAATATTGAAGGATTCTATGGGAACACAGTATTGAGTCAAAAGAAGATGATTATGGAATCCTGCATCAGACCAAAAGGTCGGCTTGAACTGTAAGATCAGCAATTAAAACTCACCAGCTGCTCCTTGAAACTCTATACAGGGTTGTTATAAGTTGGAACTAACTCAGCAGCACTTAACAACATACCAAAAATAATTGGTTGACATTCAACCATTTCAGGAGGTAGCATATGATCATGAACCAATGGTATTGAAAGAAGAAGTTCAAACTTCACTGAAGGCATTAGCAAAAAAACAAGCTTCTGAGAATTGATGGAATTTCAATGCAAATACTTTAGAAAAACTGATATACAAGCTGTAAGCACTTACTAGTCTATGCCAAGAAATTTGGAAGATGGTTAACCTGGCCAACTAAGTGGGAGAAATACATATTTGTGCCCATTCCAAAGGAGGGTGGCCCAATAGAATGTGGAAATTATTGACCAATATAATTAACATCACAAAAATTCAAAACCAAATTAACTGCCATCAAGTCATTTCTGACTCATAGCAACCTTGTAGAGGGTTTCCAAGGTTGTAAATCTTTACAGATGCAAGAAGCCTCATCTTTCTCCAGCAGAGTGGCTGGTGGGTTTGAACTGCTGATCTCGTAGTTAAGCAGTCCAGTGCTTATCCTACAGCATGCAATTAAAATTTTGCTGAAGATAATTAAAAAATGGTTTCATCAGTACATTGATAGGGCATGTCCAGAAATTCAAGCCAATTCAAAAAAGGATGTGGACTGAGGGATATCATTGATAACATCAGATTGATCTTGGTTGAAAGCCGAGAATACCAGAACATATGCTTACTTTTGTTTTACTGATTATGTACAGCCATTAACGACAACAACAACACTCAACTGTGTGGATCATAACAAGACAGGCATAACTTTGCAAAGAATGGAAATTCCAAAACACTTCATTGTGCTTAAACGGAACCTGTACACAGACCACGAGGTTGTCATCTGAACAGAACAAAAGGATACTAAATGGCTTAAAGTCAGGAAAAGTGTGTGCTAATGCTGTATCCTTTCACCATACTTATTCAATAGGCATGCTGAGCAAAGAATCTGAGATGCAGGACTATATAAAGAATGGAGCATTAGGATCGGAGGAAGATTCATTAACAACCTGCGATAGGCAAATGATACCGCCTTGCTTGTTGAAAGTGAAGAGAACTTGAGACACACGATGATGAACGTCAAAGACTTTCAGTATGGATTACAACTCAACATAAAGGAAACAAAAGTCCTCACAACTGGACCAACAAACAACACCATGCATGGTAAATGGAGAAAATATTAAAGTTATCAAGGATTTAATTTTGTTTTAGTCCACAAAATGTTCATGTAAGGCGCAGTCAAGAAATCAAATGACATTTGCAATATCCCCATCTGCTGCAAAAGTCCTTTTTAAAGTTTAAGAACAAAGATGTCGCTTTGAGGACTAAGGTGTGATGGACCCAATCTATGGTATTTTCAATTGCATCATAAGCATGAGAAAGTTTGTTGTTGTTGTTAAGTGCTGTTGAGTCAGTTCCTACTCATAGTGACCTTGTATAGGATTTCTGAGGCTGTAAATCTTAATGGGAGCAGAAAGTGTCAACTTTCTCCCCTGGAGTGGCTGGTAGGCTTGAACCACAGACTTTGTGGTTCACAGTCCATTGATTATTGTATGGAGTCATTGCATTCCATGAAAATGTTTGACAATAAATAAGGCCAGAGGGAGCCAAACCAGGCTGTTATGCTATAAGATGCTATTTTCATTCCTTTTTTTTTTTGTCATTTATTGGATCATTAAACTAAGGTGATACAATAAATAAATAAGACCAGAACATAATTTATGCATTTGAATTATGGTATTGGCAAAGAATATTGAAAGTATCATGGAATACCAGAAGTACCAACAAATCTGTTTTGAAGAAGTATAGCCAGAATGCTCCTTGGAAGCAGGGATGGAGAGACTTCATCTCACCGACTTTGGACATGCTGTCAAGAGAAACCAGCCCCTAGAGAAGGACATCATGTTTGGTAATGTAGAGGATCAGTGTGAAAGAACACCCCCAATGAAATGGACTGACACTGTGGCAGCAACAACGGGTTCAGGCATACTCACCGCGAGGACACAATAGAATTGGGCAGTGAGTTCTACTGTGTATAGGCGTTGCTATGAGCCAGAGCCGACTTGAGGGCACCTAACAATAATAGGGGGAAATGGTTGCTTAGACTGGAAGACAAGAAGAAAATGATTTATAAACTTCTGTTAATGTCTCTACTAGGAGTCCTGGTGTGGCGCTGTGGGCTCATGAGTCAGACTGCAAAGTCATTTGAATTGCAAGGTCAGTGGTTCAAGCTCACCAGTCGCTCCTTGGAAACCCTCTACAGTGTTGCTATGGGCCGGAATCGACTCGACGGCACTTAACAACAACAACAACGAGTCACAGTCTGTAACTCGCACCACACACGGTGCGAGGGTGGGTGAGAGGGTGGGAGATGAGACTGAGAGGCTGGCATGATTCACTGTGGATGGTAAGGGTTCACTGTAAATGTCAGAATGTGAAATTCTAGCATGGGTATAAAATGAGCCATCTCAGACGCAAGAGTGGGAGATCTCATTATGAACAAACAAGAAAGAGCCAGTAGGGGAGTGTGTCTTTTGTACCCAGAGATCCCTGTACATTCAAGCTCCTTGACCCAGGGACAGAAAGCTGTGACACCAGAGTGGCAGGGCTTAGCCTAAAATCTCTGCTTCTGGTACTCTGAAGAGACAATCTAACTCCTTGTAAAATCTGAACTGCTGATAACCCCAAAAGAGAAAGAGTCAAGATTTTAGCCGGTGTGAAGAATTCACACATTTAGCATTTGTGAAAAGATATTTGTCAAGAGTGTGGGGCTTCTCCCAATCTTGCAGGCAGTATCTGACTTAGCGTGGATGGCTTGCTGACCAGAATCCAACCAGATAAAGATAAAGACGTAGGATACAGGGAGGAAGCGTAACTTGCTACAACCTGATCAACTGGACCTTTGCTTGTGCATGAAGCTGCCCCAAATTCCAACTGAATAGGGAAGGAGTCTTCATATAAAGGATCAAGCATGTCTCCTCAGTACACTGGGTTGATAGGGACAGGCAACTTAGACTTTGGCTATCAAAATTGGGGGTCTATAAAGGCATGAAGTGGCTGGCTTATAATCTTTCATGAGGGTCCTTAGTGTCAGAATGAGGGGAGTAAGACAGAAACCCTGTAAGACAGAAACCCCTGAGTAGTTTTCCTTTCGTCCAGATGGTCTGTTGATGAGGGGACAGGATTTGATGATTCAATTGTAAGTAACTGTTATCAGCTCTAATGATGATTCTCACAACTGTAAATGTAGAAGAGGTGCAACTAAAAGGGGGGAGTAGTTAATCTGTCATTTCAGGAACAGGGGACTCTAGGACCATCAAGTGGGAAGAGTATTTGAGAAATGAAGGATCCTAACCAGAAAAGTGGCAACAACAGAGATGGTGGCAGAGGCGATAGCACAGAGAGACAGAGCAGCAGAGGACCACAGGCCCATGACTGAGAAAGGCAGTGTGCCCAAGGGCAGGAGGTCAGCTTGCAAAATGTGCCCTCTGGATATTTAAGTGAATATATATTTACAATGTGGTATGTGTACATCAAACAAACAAACAAAAAGTAACAGAGGTAAATACTGTTGATTGGCAACAATAGTGAAGTTGGCCCAGGATCGGGCAGTGTTTCGTTCTGCTGTGCATAAGGTTGCTATGAGTCGGTACCAACTCAATGGCATCTAACATCAACAACAACAAGGGTGTATGGAGGGGATTGTAACCATTATAATGATTTGTTGAATGTAAAACTGGTGACCTGCCCTGTAAGCCTTCACTCACTCAATACACAATAAAAGCTTAAAAAACAAAACAAAACAAAGGGTGTGCGGCTTAATCCAAGAAGAATGTCTTGGTCAACATGTTCCAGGAGATTGTCTTTGTTAGGTGCCATTGAGCCAGTTAGGTCTCATAGCAACCCGGTGGACATCAGCCTGAAACACTCCCTGGACTTGCGCCATGCTCACCACCATTCTTCTGTTTGAGTCCACATCAATGAGACGGAGGTTAGAGAACAGAAATGAGAATTTCTGTTTGGGACTGTAGTTTGACAAACACCTTGTAACTTTTTGTCAAGTAGCTCCTCTTGCCTGTGAGCAAGAAGACCTTTGTTTAGTGCACCTGATGAAAAGATCACTCTCTTGTAATTTGGAACTGCCAGGGGGACAGTGTGCCTCCTGATTTGCAAAACCTCTTGATCTTTCAAGAAAACTCTTTGCTTTCACTTCTAACAGAGTGTTAAGACTGGTACTTTGGGATGACAAGCACCATGTAGGGTTACAAATTACTACTTAATAATTAATATTTTATTAAGGACTGTATCTTTACAAGTGCTTTACAATGATGGAAAAACAAAAGAAAACAACCTTATAATGTGAAAGGATTTATTCTAAAAATAGGAGAGAAAAATACTCACGGTTGAGCCCCGATTTCTCGTAGATGATAGAAGAGTTGGGGAAGATATGTTTGAAGTAGAGTTTCAAACAGCAAACACAGTGACACAATGCCCTGGGCAGAGTAAGGCAGTGTAAAAGAAATACATATTTTAGTATTTAAAGATTAACTATGCCAAAACAGTATTTAACAGGAAAAGGAGAACAAGACTAACAACATAAACAGTCTCTATATTGCTTTCAGTTTGTCAAAAACAAGAAATGCATTAATGCTAACCACAAGGGCGGTGGTTCAAACTCCTCAGTGGCTACTGGGAAACCCTCTACAGGGTCACTATGAACAGGAACTGATTCAGCAGCAGTAAGGTAAGTTTTATGCCCCTGTGAATTTCCCATTTTAGCAGTAATGCTAAGGGACATCCTTCTAATACAATTGGTGCCCCACTGAGCCAGATATATAGCATTCAGTCCAAGGAAAACATCACGCTACAGAAAACCTGCGACTATGTGAGCCCCTAGTTAACATTTAGGCCACAGCAAAATTAGTTTTCTCTGGATGAATTCCAGTTTCCAGGTATTTCCGGGTTGCTATCCCCACACCCTGTACTCTCTTCTTCCATAATGCCCCTTCCCCTCCAGCTACCTCACCCAGTGGGGAAAATATTTCCTGCTTTTCTAAATCCACTCCCAGAGACAGACAAACTAGCTGGTGAAATTTGCATCAGGAAGTTATCAAACAAGAATGCTTGATTACTTAGTATAAAGAGTTTTTCTTTCTTTTTGTTTTAAACTGAAATCTACTTTTAAAAAAAGGGTACCACTTGTAGAGTATGAGAAACAATCGATTTAAACAGATGGTTTTTCATGTGCATTCATTAGTTGACAACTCTGAATAAAGTCTTTCTTCCAGCTTAGCATTCCTCAGGATTGATCTTTTTAAGGAAGTTTTAATCCTCTTTGCATTTCTAAAGAAAAAAGGCGGCCAGGGTTCCAAATATTTGAGTCTGGTTGCAAGCCAGGATGGGAGATGAAGGCCTGCATTCCACTGACTAGCTGGAACAGTGGAGGGACACAGGCAGGAGCAGCCTATTCCTACTCCGTTAGCAGAAAAAGACACCCTCAGCAGAGGACCAGGCAGAGGGGCCCGGAGTCAAGCAGCAGGCTCTGCACTGGGAGAAACAAGGACCAGCACTGTCAGTCCATTTTTCCCTTTTCATTGTCTTAAACGCTAAAGCATGGTAAAGCGGAGTAGAAAACGGAATGCTTGGAATAAGGCATTACAAAAGGGATGAATTACTCATCTGTTTCTGATTACTGGAGATATGACATCAGTAGAAGCTAAGAACAAAATCAAGTTGACTTAGAGAAAAGAACTCCAAGATAATTAGTGGTACTTTGTTTTTTGTGACCTCCTGGAATTCTGTTATTTGCCAACTTTTGACAGCAATGCCTGAGAGCAAGAGTGGGGACAGAGGAAAGTGGGAGAGGAATTTGTAGGATTACACTGGGGGAAACCTCAGCAGATCTTTAATGTAGTAGCAATAATACATTCGCCTCTCTGGGGACACGTGGTCTCCCTTGTACTTGTACACCTTTCAATTTAGTATGTCTTCTAGAGAGTTAGTCAAGGCTCCCTCCAAGTGGACTAAAGCAGGCCCAAAGTGGGAAACTGGAAAACAGTGATAAGATACTCAAGCTCAGGTGAAGAAAACCAGAAAACATGCATGGTCATCAGGAAGCCAAAACACAACAAATAACAATATTCAACTCCCGATATGCTTGTCCCTGATTCTCATAGTGGGGCCAGGAAAGCTTTCCACTAGAGAGCTCTAATGAAAATACCTGGTATGTTAACAGACAATTAGCCAAGTAAGACACTGGAAAACAAGCCACAAATCAATGTTTACTTTTCATTAACAAATAAGAGATGATGAAGGTGATGGTAACAACAAAAACAGTTACTGAACATCTGGTATGCAGACTTTTCTACTAGACATTACAGAGCATATATGAGCCACAATTCACGAAGAAGAAATCAGGGTTAAAAGAAAGCAGGTCTTTTTGTCAAGGGAAATACAGACTTTACTGCTTTTAAGAAATAAATATATGTAAAAGATCATTTAAGTGTAATTGATAAGGGACTTTCTCTTCTCTCATTATTTACCATAATTATTTACATATTAGCCTACTTTTCTCTCATTTATTCTTCAGAAATGTGTTGTTTGACATTACAAATTGAAATCTTCTGCTTTATAAATTGAGTAGATTTTTTTTCTCCTAAGGAAAATTCCCAGCTGAATGAAGTGAAAGAAAATCTGATGTTGCTACAAAGGTTTTCTAGGAACAAAAGAACAGATTAGAGTCTGATTTGATGCACTTTTTCAAATGAACTTACTGAAGGATGAGAAGAGATGGAATGGAGTCTGAAGAAAAAACGCACGTACATCTCACGGAACATCTGATACAATTTGAAAGGTTCGTGGTATAGAAAACAAAGGGGTGCAACTGGAAGGAGAAAGAAAATTAATTGATATTATTGCAGAACGACTAGCATTCGAAAATGAATAAGCTCATGGACAAGGGCAGAATAAATCAATATTTTGGAATAATAATATTTATCTACAGACAGTTTTAAAATCATATGCACAAGGAAAAGTCCATACAGTATGAAAAAGAAAATTCCTTCTACCCCAGACTTTCAGTTTCCTTTTCTATATGCAATCCTTTTAATGATTTCTTGTATAGCTTCTAGAAAATTTCCATATAAATAGAACAGATCTAACTATATATCTATATATATATAACTATATATATAAAAAATATAAAATATCTCTATCTCTCTATATAACTATATATATATATATATCTAAAACATCGACACAGATACAAACTTGACCTTTTCAAGTCTATACATCCAGGGACTTGTTCCGTATTAGTTGACACACAACGAACATGTTATTCTAAAGCAGAATAGCATTTGTTTTGCATATGCTGCTGTGGCACTGGGAATAATACACTCTCCTCTCTGGGGACAGTGTGGCACTGTATAATAAACACTGGGCTGCTAACTGCAAGGTCAGCAGTTCAAACACACAGTCGCTTCTTGGAAGCCGTAGTCAGGATGGGGAAATCCTATTCAGGGTTGCTATGAGTTGGAACTGACTTGGTGGCACTTAACAACAACGTAACCAATTTGGATTCCTGGTTTAGGGCTGTAGGATAAGCCCCAAACCCAGAGGTTGGCAGTTCAAACCCACAAACTGCTCCTTGGAAACCCTGTTCAGGATGGCTATGAATCAGAACAGACTACAGTTTTCTGTGTTGCTCAGAAAAGACTTTTTCACTTCTCATGCTTATATATCACTCTGATCATGAATGCTATTTATTCTACTGGGACTATATAAGTTAAAATTCAAAAGTTATGCTTTGAAGTACAATGAAATACAGAAGTTCCCAAAGGATAGATAGATACAGGTCCTTCTGGCCAATTTTACCTGTTCTTCCATCAATGAATAAACTATTGTAGTTGTTAGGTGCCACTGACCAGTTCCCACTCAACGTCAACGTCATTCTATGCAAAACAGAATGCAACACTGCCCAGTCTTGTGTAGTCTCACAATTGCTGCTATATCTGAGCTCAATGTTACTGCCACTGTGTCAAAACTTCTTGGTGGGGGTCTTCATCTTTCTTGTTGACCCTCCACTTTACCAGGCATAATGTCCTTCTCCAGGGACTGAAGCCTCTTGACAACATGTGCAAGTCTTAGTCATTAAAAATTAAAAGAAATGGGTAAATTACAGACTATAATTTAAACAGTAGTGTAAGAATGACACAATAGAATTATATGGAAGTACTTATAAGATACTATCACTTGCCTTTCAGTTTGCCATACTCTGGTGGAGTGCATGTTGCTGTGATGCTGGAAGCTATGCCACCGGTATTTCACATACCAGCAGGGTCACCCACAGAGGACAGGCTTCAGCTGAGCTTCCAGACTAAAACAGACTAGGACGAAGGAGAGGCGGACCACTTCTGAATGGTTGTCGTTAATTCTGTTCAGTCAGTTCTGACTCACAGTGACCCTGTATAGGGTTTCCGAGGAGTAGTTGGTGGGTTTGATCTGCTAACCTTATGGATAGCAGTGCAGTGCGTATTCTACAGCACCACACCATGTAAGCCACTGAAAATTTTCTGAACAGCTGCTGAACATTGGCTGATATAGTACTGGAAGGTGAGTCCCTCAAGTTGGAAGGCACTCAAAATATGACAGGAAAACCTGCCTCCTCACAGTAAAGTTGACCTTAATGAAGTGGATGGAACAAAACTTTGGGGCCCTTCATTTGCTGATGGGGAATGCCTCAAAATGAGAAGCATCAGATGCAAACATCCATTAGTATTCACAACAGGGAATGTACAAAGTATGAATCTAGGAAAATTGGAAGTTGTCAAATATGAAACGCAATACATAAAGATCAATATCCTAGGCATTAGTAAGCTGAACTGGATTGGTAGTAGCCATTTTGCATTTGCATATGGTTTACTGTGATGGAACAATAAATTGAAGAGGAATTTGAAAAGCTAGATCGTGAAATGCCTTTTTTTGACGATGAATGTAATGCCCTTCCTCTTCAATATCCATATGGCTACAATGCCAATGATGATGAACTTGAAGAATTCTATCAACTTCTTCAGTCTGAAATTGATTAAACATGCAATTAAGATGTATTGGTAATTACTAGTGATTGGAATGAGAAAGTTGGAAACAAAGAGAAAGGATCAGCAGTTGGGAAATATGGCCTTGTGTGATAGAAATGATGGTGGGGATTGCATAATAGAATTTTGCAAGACCAACGCCTTATTCATTGCAAATACCTTTTTCAACAACATAAAAGATGACGAAACACATGGGCCTCACCAGAGGGAATATGCAGGAATCAAATTGACTACATCTGTGGGGAAGGCCAATGGAGACGTTTCAGATTATCAGCCAAAATAAGGCCAGGAGCTGAATGTGGAGCAAACCATCAATTGCTCATATGCAAGGTCAAACTGAAGCTGGAGAAAATTAATACAAGTCCATGCGAGACAAGATATGGCCACCTGAATTTAGAGACCATCACAAGAACAGATTCAATGCATTAGACACTAATAATTGAAAACCAGAAGAACTGTGGGATTACATAAACACATCATGTAAAAAGAAAGCAAAAGGTTATTAAAAAGAGAGAAAAAAGAAAAGCAAAATGGATGTTAGAAGTGACTCTGAAACTTGCTCTCCAACATAGAGATGCTAAAGAGAATGGAAGAAATAAGGAGGTAAACGAGCTGAACAGAAAAGGGCAGTTCGAGAAGACAAAGTATTATAATGAAATGTGCAAAGATCTGATGTTAAGAAACCAAAAGGGAAAAACATGCTTAGCATTTCTTGAAATGAAATAACTGAGGAAAAATTCAAGCTTTGATTTGTAATATTGGGGAAGAGTCTATGGGCAACACTGAATGATGCAGAAAGCATCGATAGAAGATGGAAGGATTACACAGTCACTGTACCAAAAAATTATGGTAGATGCTCAGTCATTTCAAGAGCTAGCATACAATCAAGAGCAAATTGTAACAAAAGAAGTGCAAATTGCACTGAAGGCATAGGCAGAAAACAAAGGAATTGATGGAATACAAATGTAAATGTTTTAACAAACTGATGCAGTGCTGGAAGCTCCCACCTGTCTATGTTAAGAAATTTGAAAGACAGTTACCTGGCCAACTGATTAGAAGAGATCCATATTTGCACCCATTCCAAAGAAAGGTGACCCACGTGAACGTCATTAACATAACATGTAAGTAAAACATTTTTGCTGAAGATTAAAAACACTTGCAACAGTACATTGACAGGGAGCTAGCAGAAATTCAAGGAAGATTCAGAAGAGAACATGGAATGAAGGGTAACATTGCTGACATCAAATGGATCTTGGCTAAAAGCAGAGTAAACCAGAAAGATGTTTAATGTGCATTACTGACTATGCAAAGGCATTTGACTGTGTGGACAAACTATGGATAACATTTAGAAAAATGGGTGTTCGAGAATGCTTAATTGTGCTCATGAGGAATTTGTACATAGATCAAGAGGCAGTTGTAGAACAGAACAAGGAGATACTGTTATTGGTATTGTTGTTAAGTGCCATCAAGGCAGTTCCGACCCATAGCAACCCTGTATAGGGTTTCCAAGGAGCGGCTGGTGAGATTGAACCACCGAACTTGCAGTTCAAATGGCTCTGCAGTCTGGAGCATTAGGGATACTGCTGTTGTTGCAAAGTGCCATCGAGTCGATTCTGACCCATAGCGACACTGTATAGGGTTTCCAAGGAGCAGCTGGTGAGCCTGAGCCACTGACCTTGCAGTTCAAACGTCTTTGCAGTCTGACGCATTAGCCCACAGCGTTAATTTAAAATCAGGAGAGGTGTGTGCTAGGGTTGTATTCTTTCAACCACATGTATTCAATTTGTATGCTGAGCAAATAATCTATGAAGCTGGATTACATGAAGAAGAACATGGCATCAAGATTGGAGGAAGACTCTTTAACAACCTGCAATATACAGTTGATACAGCCTTGCTTGCTGGAACCAAAGAACACTTAAACTATATACTGATGATGATCAAAGACTTCAGTATGGATTGGACTTCAATGGAAAGAAAAAAAAAAAAATCCTCACAGCTGGACCAATAAGTGACATCATGATCAATGGAGAATAGATTGACGCTATCCAAGACTTCATTTAGTTTGGATTCACAATCAACACTCTTGAAAGGAGTAGTCAAACGATGTATTGCATGAGGCACATTTGTTGCAAAAGACTTCTTTGAAGTGTCAAGGAGTGAAGATGTCAGTTTGAGAATTAATGTGTGCCTGACTCAAGTCATGGTCTTTTCAATCATCTTATATGATGTGAAACTTGGACAGTGAATACGGAAGAACATAGAAGAATGGATGCATTTGAATTATGGTGTTGGCGAAGAATACTGAAAGTACCATGGACTGTCAGAAGAAGAAACAATCTGTCCTGAAAGAAGTACAGTCAGATGCTCCTTAGAAGCAAGGATGGTGAGACTTTATTTCGTTTGGACAGCATGGGATCAGTCCCTGGAGAAGGACATTATGTTTGGTAAAGTGGAGGATAACCAAAAAAGAGGAAGACCCTCAACAAGATGGAATGACACAATGGCAGCAAAATGGGGTTAAACATAACAAGTGTGAGGCTCGCGGAGGACTAGTCAGAGTTTCATTCTGTTGTGCACAGGGTCGCTATGAGCCGGAATGATCCCGGTGGTGCTTAACAACAAGACTTTACTATACAGTCATAATCTATCACACTTACAGGAAAACTGCATTAGTCTACATATGTGTAAATGGGGGAGGCCAATTTAAATTAGAGAAAAGTTATGATTCAATATTTTAAAGACATATAGTGACTAAAATTGAAGCAACAAAATGCTAACTAGAATTATCTAGGGATGGCTTGTATATCTAGTATTTTGATCATAAAGTTGCTGATAAAGGATTTGTGGATGTTTACAATATTTTCTGTAAATAGTATAAATGAATTCTGCATCACAATTTTACACCATTTATCTCCTTAGTAGACAATTCCCCCTTGGCTTACAAGCCTTAGTCTACTTACATGACCATCAACGGGATTCAGTAGAAGCTGAGGCAGTGCAGCTTCCATGACATCCTTTAAATCAGCTAAACGCACCTTTTAAAAACTACTGAATGGTTTCTGATGCTGTAATTCTTAATACAGAAAAATAAAAGGGCTAGTCTTTTTATGATTGAAGGTGACAGTTTATTATTTTTAATCCTTTTAATTTTTCTCTGTTTAAACCACTCACATTTGATAAAAAAGAGATATGCAAGCATGTCACTCGAACCATATGCACCATGTTATGAAGTTTAAGGAGTCCTGGTGTGGTGCTGTGGATTAATGCACCAGACTGCAAAGCCATTTGAACTGCAAGGTCACTGGTTCAAGCTCACCAGTCACTCCTTGGAAACTCTATACAGGCTTGCTATGGGTCAGAATCAACTCGATAGCACTTACCAACACGATAATACAAGGAGGCGTCAATAAGTTTGTGGAAAACTTCCACTGTCTTTTTAAAGTTTTGTTTTCTCAAGAACTGTTTGAAGTACCTTCTAAAGTAAATTCAAACCCATAGTCAATACTATCAGGGCATAATAATAATAAATTGTGACTTTTTTCACAGTATGGTAGCTTTCTAAGTTTTATATTATGCCATTCACCAGGAATGTCTAACAAAACCTGAGCTTTTTACAAAGAAAAGTTTTGATACATTGCTGACTCTTGTTATAAAGGCAAAATATCAAAGCATTTCTGTTTCTTCTAAAGGCAGAAGGCAGAAATGAAGGGGACAACAATCTTTAATAAGTTTATATATAATATATAAAAATCTAAAAATAAGTGCATTTAGGTTTTGGGCATTCTTTCTCTTGTTAATCTTCACTGAACTTCGTACTTTCTTCATCCAGTGATACATGAGGCCAAAAAGGCACCGATGGCGGTCCCAGCGGCCCATGTGGTTATTGCATGCACTTCAAACCCAGGACACGTGCACCCTTGAATGTGATGAGTGGTCCCACCATCAGCTCACAATCAGAACTGACCCTCCCTCGGGATTCTTTCTGACCTATTCTTTTTGACAGACTCGGATGAGAATTAGTTGAGGAATTTAAACAAATTCATTTCACACCTATCAGGACTAAATATTAATGTGTGTCTAGTTTCCACTGGATTAGAAAATGGAAAATCGCACAACCGCTTTCACATTGAGTTGTAACTCTAACTTGCCAAGGAATCATCAGATGAGCAAGTATGACTTTTACTTTTTTATTTTGTTGTTTTTTATCACCAATTTAATTTTTTATTAGCCATATAAACAAATACTAAACTCAATGTTTAAAAATATTTACAGTCACTCATTATGTGCGTGGGTGATGTGATATAAAGTGAGATTTTAGATGTTTAATTTTTAAAACTGTAATAAAAGCAATGAATAGTTTAAAGCTCAACTTACCATACATTGAAAATCCATGAAACGGGATTACACCTGAAAAAACAACAAAAAGTATTTCTTTTCAGTAAGTAGAAAACCAAACCAAACCCACTGCTGATGACTCTAACTCAGAGAGACCCTCTAAAGTCGCTGTCTCTCAAAGGCTGTCAGTCCTTTGGAAGCAGACAGCCTCCTCTTTCTCCCACTGGTGGGTTCAAACTGCAGACCTCCTGGTTAGCAGCCAAACACTTAACCCACTGTGCCACCAGGGTTTCTTTTATATGTAGTAGACTCACTGAATTTATAAATTTAAACAGACTAAAACTGAAAATAGGACAGTTTTCTCCTTTTTTGCTTCAACTTTCTTTATGAATGTCAGTGATAAGATGTTTGAAAATATCTCTTGAAAAGCAAAATTGAGGTTTTCAAAATATATCCAATTAACTTTATGTTGATGAGATGAAAAATCTTAAACTTTAATTATATGTCTAAAACGACAGTATAAAAATACAGCAGGCAGATCATAGAACTAAGGTTTTTTTAGCTACTTCAATGAATAGTATGATTGTTTCAGAGTCAGCGGATTATGTCCTCTATTAACAACTCAATCCTGTATGTAGAATCCAATTCAACTTCAAAAAGGTAAGCTAGATTTTCAAGGCAACTTGTATAAAAGTTTATTACAAAAAAATTATATCATGATATGTGGTTTAAGAAAAATATTGGCAGGAATATGGTACAATTTCAGTATAATATTTGGCAAGAATTATATACAAGCAAAATACACATCCTTCTCAAGAAATACTCAAGGCCTAACGGGGTAGGCTAAACAACCTGTCACATTCCAAGTGAAGAATTAGAATTTATACAGCTTAGTTTCAAAACAGAAGTTCTGTTAATATACACCATTATATTTCTAACACTACTAAATCAGGTTGCAAACACAGTACAGAAGAAAACTGAAAAGTTTACTCTGTGGAAAAATAGTATAGAAATGCTTTATTCATTTGACATTTTCGGAGGCAAAAACTCTTGGTTTTGGCAGGGACTTCAGCGGTGATTTCACACAAGTTCTAATACATGCTCAGTTTAAAACACTTCCAGCAACAGAGGGCACATGAATTCCCAAGGCAGTGTGCAGCAATTTTGCACAGGCTTAATTTGGGATAAGTTATTCTCATACTAAATCCAACTCTGCATCTGCTAGTCCCACTTCTTATTCCTAGTCCTGATCAGAAAGGCCCAAGAGAACACATCTAATTTATCTTCTGTATGAAAACTTCAGAAATATTTGAAGACAATTCTCACTCCCATTGCTCCTTCTCCCCACCCTCTATCCCTAACATTTTTGCTCTTAGACTGAGTTTCTTTAATTGCTGCTGGGATGAAGTGGACTTAAACAGCCTTCCTATTCTATTTCCCTCTGGACAAGAGGCAGTTCACCACACTCCTTAAAATGACATGATTAAACTCTCTAAGCATTTTTTCCTCCTGCACACCCTGTAGATAGCTAAGACACTGAACTTGTGCAGTTGTTTCTGGACCTAAGTAAAGGATTATATTCTTATCTCTCTTATGTTTCTTCTTGGGTGAACCATTCTAACGTGAAAAAATCCTAGATTTGCATTCTGTACTCTAACGTCTTTCTAGGACTCATCACTACTAGAGAATCCCTTCCATAACGATATGTTCATTCAACAACACACTATTAAGACAAAGGAAGAACATGGACCAGGTTCCAGACTTGGTTGAGTTCATTTGGCAGTTAAGAGGTTTGTGTGCATTTGGGTAAGTTTCTTAACATCTTTAAGATTTGTTTCCTCACCTGTAAGTCACTGATAATAATGTGTGTTATTGTTGTGTGCCCTTGAGTCAGGTGCGACTTATAGTGATCCTGTATAGGGTTTCTGAGGAGCAGCTGGTGTATGTGAAATACTGACCTTGTGGTTCGTAGTCCAGTGTTGATCCTACAATGCCGTACCAGGAGTGCACTGCTGAGTTTGAATGGCTGACCATGCGGTTAAGCAGTCCAGTGCTTATCCTACAGTGCCACTCATTGATAATAATGCTATCATTAAATGCTATCGAGTTGGTTCTGACTAGTGACCCAGTATAGGGTTTGCAAGGAACAGCTGGTGGGTCTGAACCATGAATTTTGCCATTAGCAGTCCAGTGTTTATCCTACAGCATCACACCATGACTCCACTGATAAGCATGTTGTTGTTGTTATCAAGTGCCATCGAGTTGGTTCCAACTCACAGTGACCCTGTATAGGGCTTCTGAGGAGTAGTTGGTAGATCGGGTGGTCAAATCAGCCTTGTGGTCCAGTGTTGACCCTACAGCACCACAGCAGGGCTTCACTGATAATAATAAAAACTGCGTATGATTAAAGAGCAGCTAACCGCAGGGTCAGCAGTTCCAGTCTACCAGACACTCTGCAGGAGAAAGGTGAGGCTTTCCGGTTGGCTTTAAAGAGGTCTGTGCAACATATATTTACATGAAGTAATTGTTATGTGCCGTGGAGTCGGTTCTGACTCATAGCGACCCCGCACAGGGTTTCCGAGGCTGTAAATCTTTACGGGAGCAGAAAGCCTCATCTTTCTCCCGTGGAACCGCTGGTAGTTTCGAACTGCTGACCTTGCGGTTCACAGCCCGATTCGTAACCACTACGCTACCAGAGCTCCTACATCAGATGATTTCTTGACTGCTGCTTCCATGACGGTTGATTGTGAATTCAACCAAACTGAAGTCTTTAAAAACGTCTAACTTTTCTCCATTTTCCTATTTGCGTTATACTCACCACCCTATTCCTTCTCAATTTTGTTTTTAGGAAAATGTTGCCTTTTTGATTTTGACTGATTGACCGTTCCATGGTGAGCCTACCTTGCTAGTGTTGTTGTCTCCCCTGTAGCCCTATCTATTGCTTAGCTGAAAATTGGGCCATGACAGTGTGTTTCTTTCCAGACCTGACGGATAGTTGAGACCAGTCTCAATTTCCTCTAGTCTCTTTCTGACCAGTAAACCTAGTTTTATTATTAAATGATTTTGAGTATTGTTCCACATTTCCTCCCACTCTATGTGGAGCCCTCTAATGTGATCATTTTTCTGGGCAGTTGGCAGTGCAAGCTGGGCACCATCTAGTACATCTGATCTTAGAGTCAAGGAGACTGATGGTCACATGTTACATTTGTCCACTGGACTAATCGATTCCAAGTCATTTCAATTCTTTTCACACTTCTTTCTGTCACATGTGGAGAGACCAATAGCTACACCTTAGCTCATGAGCTTTCAAGATCCCAGAAGCTCCTCACCCAAGCAGAGTGTACAACATTGTCTTTGTGGACTATGTGATGCCAATGGATCATGGTGTCCCCTGAGACTAAGGTCCTGAGGCCCCAAAGGCCAGCAACTCATTTCCTTAAGAGGTTTGATAATATCTAGGGAGTTTTTATAATTTAGTCTGTTGTATGGTCCACTACAATCACAGATGTGTTTTCATGAAAGGTAAATACTCAAGTACAAATATCCTTTCAAAAACTCTTCTGTATTTGTGGTCTATATAAATATATACATATCCCACTCTTCTTCCCTTACCCATTCAACCTGTGTCTCAGTTCATGTATCTACAAACAGAACACTGTTATTCCAGGGTTGTGCACATATCACTAGTTAACTCTATCCTGTTTAGCCCAAGCATACCTCCCTGTGACTTCACCTAACTTCATTAATCTTCTGCATTCTCTGGCTTCTTGTGAATTGCCTTCCTCCTCCTTGTATATTGCTCTATATACCTGAGCTAACATGTGTTTTCCCTCTGGCCAGTGAATTACTTTCCCTTCCCTTCCACTCCTGGTAACCAGTAAAGAATGTTTCTTTTAATATGGAAATCTTTTCTTAAGATTTTACCAAAGTAGTCTCATACAATATTTGTCCTTTTGTGACTGACAAATTTCACTCAGCATAATGTCTTCTAGGTTCATCCATGTTATGAAGTGTTTCACCGATTCATCATTATTCTTCAATGTTGCATAGTATTCTACTGTGTATATGTACCAAAGTTTGTTTATCCATTCTTCCATTGTTGGGACTTCTGGTGTGGTGCGGAAGGTTAATGTGCTGGACTGTAAAGTCATTTTGAACCACAAGGTCAGTGGTTCAAGCTCAACAGTTGCTCCTTGGAAACCCTACACAGGGTTGCTATGGGTTGGAACTGACTAGACAGCACTTAACAACAACAGAAATTGTTGGGCACATAGACCATTTCCATCTTTTTACTATTGTGAATAGTGTTGTGAAGAACATTGGTGTGCATATATCTACACATGTCTTGGCTCGTATTTCTGGAGGATGTATACCCAGTAGAGGGATGGCTGCATCATAAGGTATTTCCATTTCCAACTTTCTGAGGAAGTGCCAGACCATTTTCAAGAGTAGTTGAACCATTTTACAGTCCTATCAGCAAAGTAGGAGGGTCCAAGTCTCTCTAAATCCTAGACAGCATTTGTTGCTTTCCATTTGTTTGAACTTTGCCATTAATGTCAGTGTGAGATGATATCTCATTGCTGTTTTGAGTTGCATCTCTCTAGTGGCTAATGAAGGAGCTCTGGTAGCACACTGGTTACAAATCAGTCTGCTAACCTCAAGCTCAGCGGTTCGAAACTACCAGCTGTTCCATAGGAGAGCAATGAAGTTTATGCTCCCGTAAAGATTTACAGCCTTGGAAACCCTGTGCAGGGTTGTTATGAGTCGGAACTGACTCCACGGCACATAACCACTACCAGTGGCTAATGATCTTGAACAGTTCTTCATATTTTTGTTGAATGCCTGAATGTCTGCCTTGGTGAAATCTCTGTTCATGTCCTGTGTCCATTTTTTAATTGGGTTGCTTGTCTTTTCTTATAGAGGGGTTGTAGTTTTCTGTAAATTTTAAATATTAGACTCTTATCTGATATGTCACTGCAAAATTTCCCCCCAGTTTGTGGGCTCCTGTTTCACTCTTTTTGTGAAATCTTTTGATGCACATAAATGTCTAATTTTTTTTAGGATGTCCTAGT